TTTCCCCACATGCTGCACTAACTCTTTGTGACCTCCTTTGTGCGGCCACTGACACAGTTACACGTGGCTGTGGAAAGCATCGACTTTGTCGACGTCACTACAACCATATCATTTTTCGTGCCCGCGGTCTGTAGGGATGCCACCTGTATCCGGATTGTGAACATCCTCTACATCCAGATGCAGTATGTCCCATCTATGCCTGCGGGGGCTATAGCAAATGTGCACTTAACTGTGATGGTGAACGCCCCACAATCGCCATGGCCTGCAAACGGCATGCCCTCTGCCGTGCATGCTCCAGAGGTATGGTTGATGCTAGCTGCCCTGACTCCTGCTGTGACGAGGTTGCTTGCCTGAATCGTCTTCGTCTGATAGATCGACGGGAGTGCTGCTACCATCGCCCGCATCCTTATGACAGTTGTCCTATCTGTCGTGAGGATATTACTCAGACGTACCTTGCACCTTAACAGAAAGGTGCAGGTGCGCTGAAAAGAGTGTGCAAAAGTGGGAGACCCTTCACTAAAACTGCAAGACAGTGAAAGAAGAATGCAGTAAGAGAAAGAAGAAGTTTGTGTCATTTTGCTTTGTTTGTACCCTGCACCCTAACACCCTCAAAGAAAAGAGTGAAAATGAGAATAAAAGTAAAGAAGGAAGTGCAGGTGCGCTGAAAAGCGAACGTGGTAGATTCTTCACCAAAACTGCAAAACCGTGAAAGAAAGAAGAATACAGTAAAAGACAAGTTGTGTCACCTTCCCTTCGCCTATTGTTTTTTCTTTTCGGCCCCTCTTCCTTGTGTGTAACACCTCTCCCTTTACTCTGCCTCTTTCCCACAGCGTGCAAGTGGGCTGTTATGGCATATGGGGATGGGGGCAGCTCGTGCTCAACTTCATCAATGTGGAGCCTTGTACGTGAGAGGCGCAGTGGAGGAGGAGTTAAGAAGACTGAGAAATTGAATGATTACAATGTCTTTGTTTTTCTATTTTTATCTTTCGTTCAGTGTAAAAAGATTATAAAACACTGAAAGAAATAAGAATACACTAAAACAAAGAAGAGGAAGACACTGTTTTCTGTCTTTCTGGTTTGTCACTCTTTGCCTGTCTGTCCTTTCATTTTCTCTTTTCTTCGCTCATCTTATTTCTTCTTCTACTCCACGTGTTTGCACTCTTAGTCAATAGTTCTGTGACAATGTGTATAGTCAAACAGAGCTTCCCGGTAAACCGTAGGCAGAGAGGGAGAAGAGGACAACAAACGAGGGGCTGTGACAAACCGTTTCGTTGGAGTTTCACCGACTCATCAGGAGTATGTATATGTTACACCCCCTTGTTTCTTGTCTTTTTGTCCCTTTCTCCCTACGGTTCACCGAGCAGTTCGTAGTGACTGCCGTCTTCCCCCGAACACTAGCACCGCCATTATGGCTGTACCGGATCGGAAAGACGGCTTGTATATTGTCATTGTCAGGGTGCGTTGTGTTCGGGGGAAGATGGGTAGGTAAGTTCGAACACATCTTGCTGCACACAGACACGCGCACACGGAGGCATCTGCACACACGAGTACTTGAGCATGTTTGGACAGTCAGGCCCTTGTTTTGGAACTACTTTTGTTGATTCAACTTGATTGGAATGTATTTAATGTGAACTGATGGGACTTATAATTGTCTGTGGCCGCTGAGTGTGCGAGGATAGATTCTTGCCTCCCCCTGTTTTCTCAAATGTGCAAGTGTGCCCGTTTGTAGGGCAGAGGGGTGTGTAGGGAGAGATGGTTAACGGACGTGCCAGGCCTAAATTTTTGACAATTTGCTCCGAAAGACACCAAATTTGGCACACGGCGACTTGGAACGAAACCAAAAATTGGCAAAAAACAGACAAAAAACATAAGTTTGTTCTCCAAACCCTAATTTTAGTTTTGGACCCGCTACCCAAGAGCTGAAAAGTGGGTTTTGCCGTTACCCACTTTGTGTGTGTGGGCAGCTGGCTAAAGGACAAACGTGGCCAACCTTGAACCCATAGTAATCATAAATGAAAATGGATGGACTGGGGGATTGTGTTTCGTGATTTTTTGCTTACACAATGTATAGACACATGCACGCACACCAATGCACACAAACATGCATGTGCGCATGCACCCAGTCATGCTTTGTCTGTTGAGTTGTATTTGTTGCTAGACGTGACAGCATACACTCTTTCAATCGCACTCCCATGGGCAGGGTCGAGGGCACCAACCAAATGAACTAGCTAAGAGTTGGGAAGGAGAGGACTGCCAGATGGGTGGGTGGTTGTGTGAACGGGTGGAGAGAGGGTAAGAAGGGGTATGATGTGGAAGGTTTGGTTACACATTGTACAGACACATGGACTCGTACAGTCATGGACACACACACACACAACCTCCTGATGACTTGGTGAAAGTCCAGCGAAACAGGCTGTCATCATCATGCTTTTTTGTGGACTCGTGCATAGTGAACATGACAACGCACCTGCACATGCACTCACATGCACTCACATGCACTCACATGCACTCACATGCACTCACATGCACACTCGTGCACACACACGAGCCAAAGCCAATACCTTAGTAGGAGAGGCCTGCCAGATGGGTGGGTGGACGCCAAGGGGATGATGTGGGAGGTTGACGATGCTGATGAAACGGACAAGGAGTATAGTGTGGGATGATGATGATGATGATGATGATGATGATGCTGACGATAATGACAAGGAGAAGGGGGAATAAGGACGTGTCGGCCGGGCTAGTGATGAGGGATTTTATTACAAGGGTAGATGGTTCGGACCCGATGGTTAGGAATTGTGGTAAGAAGATGATGACAGAGAGGAGGAGGAGGAGGAGGAGGAGGAGGAGGATAATGAGAAAGAATACAAGATGATGGTGGAGGAGTTGGGCCAAAAATGGCATATCACGGATGCAAGATATTAGGGAACGTTGGAAAATGCAACGCCAACTCCGACCCCTCCTCAAACACTGTCATAGAGTAGAGGAGAAGCTTGAGCTGCTGATTTTTTCAATCCTGCTAGCATTGCTGAAAGCATAAGGAAAGGGGTCCCACTCTCTAGGAAACCGACTGGGTAGCTATCAAAGGGGGGACAGAGAGTACGGGTAACATCATCGAAGTCTGAACGTAATAACGTTTTCCACAAACAAGGAAATAACTCCCTAGTGCGGTATTCGCCAGATGTTACAAGATGGCAAAAGAGAAAGGACATATACCGCAACAGAGTGCTGCACGAGAGGGATTGGTGGGTAGCTTTTGACCCTGACACCCCCATCCAAGATCTGCCATTCGACCCGGTGTAATGGTGGTAGACTTTGCCAAGACAGCAGGAGGGCAACCGGAACAGACAGCTAAGCATTTTGGACCTCCAAGCCACGTATAGGATGCTGCATACCAAAGTAAATCTGAAAGAAAACACGCAACTTCGATGGATGGCACACCTTAACATCAACCAAACAGACCTCCGCCCAATTTGGTGGTTTGCCGAGTCCCGCACCAGGCCAGCCAAAATCGCATCGCTGCAGTGGCAAATAGAACACCATTGTCTCCGGACCGAGGGGTGGATAATGTTCTGCACCAGGCTAGAAGCGCTAACAGAAGGGCTGGGCCCTTTGATGCTGTACCCTGCCGCAAAGCCCGAGGGATGATTGAGCCCATCTCCCTGCAGTGTCCGGGAGCAGAACTTGCATAGTGCTGGTGGGACGGGATCGGGTGCCAACTTGGAACGGAGACCACCTGGCAATTGGATTGGCGAGCTCTGCTATGCAGGGCATGGCGGACACTGCAAGTCTACACCTTTACACACAACATGACATGTTTTGGTTGGGAAGACGAGGGGCAGTCCTGTGAACTCTGTGGACAGAACGTTGCCCATATGAACGAGAAAGAGTCCGACTGGAAGGTGGTGCCGAAGTCACAGACACGATCAAACAGCAAGCTCAAGTAGAACTAACCACAAGGTGGACGAGGGTCAAAGACAAACTGCACTTGTCTCGTAATAAAAGAAATTCTAAGAGGAATGGCCGGGGGGAGGGGGACGGAGAGGATGGATAGGAGCCATCAGATTGGGGGCCGGCCAGGATATGGCAATGGATTCACTCAGAAGGGACACAAGCGGACAAAGATTGATGCATCAGTACCTCTACATCCAGCCGCCGACTTCCCAGACATGATCCCACCAAACCAGCTCTCCACAGTAGACCTCCAGTGGTATGGAGGTGGCGTAAGATTACAGCCCCAGTTTGAACTTCAAGGAAAAGCCAGCATCCTCGAGATTAAGGGAGCTCAGATGGCCCAGAGGAAGACTACAGAATCAGCTATGGATACTTCTGTTTATCTGGCGGGCTAAGAAAAGACCGAAGAGGCTGTTTGACAGACATAGCTAAAAGGTAGTTCTGGATTGACAGTCTGAGTGGAGAAAGTGAAATACACAAATGTACATAGGACGCTGCACCTGGTTTCCAGAAGGTGACGCTCCCCACCAATAGATTGGGGCGAACGACAGGGACTACTGTGGGAAGCGGCTTTCCAAAGAGAAAAAAGAAAAATATGCTGGGGGAGAAGAGAAGATGAAGGAGAGGACGAGGAGGAGGAGGAGGTGATTGGGTCTTCACCTGGAGGTTGATTAGGCTGGTCCCGATGAGGATCTTAATCACTGTTCCAAGTCAGTATTTGAACATAATAATGTGTTTGACCAAGTTGTTGACCAACGACTGACGTGGTGGACCCACGACCAGCTTGGTTGATGGGGCACAGGGTGAAGTAAGAATCGGGGGTAAGGGTCGGATCCTTTGAACGGAATGCTACAAGTGAGTTGTTTGCTGAATCAGCGAGTGAACGTGGTGATGCTTCTACAAGTTTAATTAAGTCTATGATGATGGTTCTACAAGTATACTTAAGTCTATGATGATGCTTCTACAAGTTTACTTGAGTCTATGATGATGCTTCTAGAAAATATGCTCTGTACAGAGGGGATCATGGATTGGTTTTTCTGCTTTTGCAGGGGCCAGAGGTCAGAACAGGCGATGTGCATGAGCCCATTCTGCTCACCATGGGTCAGGAGTTCACTTTTACTATCAAACGTGGGGTTGTGGATGAGAAGTGCGTGAGTGTCAATTATGATGGCTTCGTTGACGATGTAGAGATTGAAGACATTGTGCTCATTGACGGTGAGTGCCATGACCTTGAGGAGTATCTGGTCACAATACCACTTAGTCTTGGATACAAGCGATCGAGGGAAGACAAATGCCAAATTTCTGGCGCGGATGTGTCTTGTTTGTCTTATTTGTCCGTAAGGAAGGCTTGCATTTCATCTTCTGTTTGTGTACGTGGGATAAGGGTAGAAGAGGGACAGAACGTGTTTGTCTTTTTTTTTCGTTTTTGTTGTTGTTGTGTGTGTGTGTGTGTGTGTGAGAGAGAGAGAGAGAGAGAGAGGATTTGTGGGCAGTCAGGGAGGAGTGCAGGATATGGGTGGCTGGGCTAGTACATGGATGCCAACTCACCTCTGACTGGAAAGAAGCACATGCATAGTGTCACATCTAAACAGGAAAGGGAGTGACATCAACTCCAATGTGTTTGGCTGGCGTGTACATGAAACAAGCTGCCGGTGTTGATGCGACTGTACACACCAAGCACGAACCATGAGTCCTTGCTCGATGGCTACTGTTGAAAAAGATGACTCCCGGAAATATAATGTCCGTCTTGCGGCTGATGGTACATCAAGGCTTGCTTGCTTGGCTTAGGTTTACTTTATCATGCCTTACTTGACTCTACTTGCCTTGACTTCCTTTGGCTTGCCTGCTAACTTGCTTGATTAGTTAAACTACCAGTACCTCCGAGGCTGCCGACTTCCCCTGCACGGCAAGCTTTGCGGAAACACCAGTGTGGCATTTTTGTTTTCCATTTGGCTGGGGCCGCCAGCCATTTTGGTCCGGTTGCCATGAGCCTTTCAACTTTTCGGGGAGGCTCTCTCATTGTCTCAAGTTGCCCGGGGGCATGTGTTGGTGGTCTTAGTATTGATTAATTAGCGGTCGATTAAACAGTTAAGTGCTAGTAAGCAGCTAATTATGACTGCAGTCATGAACTTACGGTGTTTGTGTACTGATTTGGTGGGCAGGCTTTGCTTGTTGGCTGGACGGATTCAATGTGCCTGCCAATTCGGTTGATTAATCCGCTGAATGCTGATGAGTGCACGGCCGGATTGGTGGGTTGTGCTGGGTGAACAGGTGGGATGCAGTCACTTGCAGTGAAGAGCAAGACCAAGGACTCGGTCATCTGCGAGGTTGTTGATGGGGGGTACCTAACGTCTCGCCGGCACTTGAATGTCCGTGGAAAGAGTGCCACCCTGCCTTCGATCACAGGTGCGGCAATTGCAAATGCAAGTCATGTCTTCTGACCGCCAGCTGTCTTTTCTTGTTTCACTGTGAATGTTAATCAGTCTGCTGAATGATGACCACACTGGCTGGTACTGCCTTTGATCATGCCAGCAAATCAGTTTTCTTTTCTGAAAATAGGAACGTACATCCTTGTTGAATCCTGCAAAACACACACAACATCACACAGAAACACATGTGAATGAGCATCACTAATAGAACAGACAAGTGTGCTGTAAACCAAACGGGTGTGTACCATACTTGCGGAGCATATGTACGGTGCGCGGCGCAGTGCGCTGATAGGTGATGCGCGGACAAAAAAAAAGAAAAGAAAGAACTGCCGTGATGTGTGTTTACGCGTGCGCGCGCACGAGCGAGCGAGCGAGAGTGTGTGTGTGTGTGTGTGTGTGTGTGTGTGAGAGAGAGAGAGAGAGAGAGAGAGAGAGAGAGAGAGAGAGAGAGAGAGAGAGAGTTGTCACCTTGTTCAGAAAATCCCTGCCGTAACTCAAAAAAGCCCTGGCCAAACATTAGTGAGGGTTTTCTTGCCGAGATGGAAGTAGAGGCTGGACTTATAGGTGGGCAGTAGCAGGCGAACTATATATGGTGCAGCTTCAAATTCAGGTCCGTTTTCAGCTTGTTATGGGTCACTAACTTACTAACTCAGCATGGATTTTCAGGGCTTCTGTCCACTACTCACCAAATGTGCAAGACTAGAATGAATCTTCTGCTAGAACATGGAACCATATGCCGCCAAATGTTTAGTCTTTTGTGCAAGTGGTGACTAGTGGAGTGAGGCCCTTAGGGCCACTGCACGTAAGAAAAGGGATACCAAAAAAAAGAGAGAGCTACTGTAGTATTAGTAGTAACCCATAACTGCTGGAACACAGACCTGAATTCAAATCCAGAATTTATATTGCTGGCCTGCTCGTGGCCTACCAGCAATTTGATGAACGTCTCTCCAAAGAAATGGGACCCTTGGTAATTCTCTGCTGGGGCCCCTTTGGAAAAGAGATTGAATCCAATGAGGAGTACGATGTAGCCCCCAATCCTGTTTTTCTGTGCATTTACAACTTTCCGTACTTGCGCCGCATCACGTGCGTGCGCTATGCGCTGGACGTGCGCAACTCGCACGCACGTGATGTACCGCTTGTATGGCGTGTACGCATTTCGTGGTCAAGAAAACAGACCTGGAGCACCATGCGCCTCTCAGAATATAACAATGAGTGGCCATCTGGACAACATTACAAAACCATTTAAATATCACATATAACTTCATAGGAAGATTGAGAGGTAAAGCTGTTTCAATGTTGTATATACTCATCTGTGTTGAAAAGAGGTGGTTCTGGTGACAGCCCATAACAAACACGTATGCACTCCCAAGCACACCACAAGTGGTTGACAGGAACCCCACTTTTCAGCCCATATAGGTTAACCCTCCCGAGCACTGAAAAGGGCATTCGGGGATTTTTGTTTTTGGTTCTTTTTCTTTTTTGTTTGCCCTTTTTTTTGGGGGGGGTCAAGCATCGTGTGTGCCAAGTTTGGTGTTTGTTGGACCCTACTTTTTATTGGTTGGTTTGTTTGTTTTCCACTCGAGGGATTGGTGGCAAGCTTTGTTTTAAACCCCCAGGACATGGCCATACATCGGCCGTGGGGCCTTCACCGTGATTTTTGGAGGTAAAAAACGCGACAAAGGCCGTTGATGAAATTTATCAACGGCGGCCTGTCCCCTGAATTTTCGGAGTAGGCAGCAAGTTTCTTTTCTGCAAGGCTGGGGCCGTGTACTAGCGGTTTGAAACGGTGTGTTATAAAGACCATGAAAAAATAAATTTAGGGCTCTGTTAACCGCTTCTCAAACACACACACATCCTCCTGCGATGACATCAGTATGCACCAATGCATGCAGAGCGATGCAAAGTCTAGGCTGAGCGCATTGTGCCTTCTACGGCCTTCTTGGCCCCAATGAGCAATAGAACAAAGTCATCTGCATATCAGCGGTATAATAAATACCTTTAGAACAATGGAGGCGGAAAGGTTGAGACCAGCCAACAAGCAAATGAGGGCATGCAGGCCGCTAAGCTTGTGTCAGCCAAGGGTTGGGTGTGAAAGAGGGGGAGAAGATACCGTTGATGAAGCAAGTGTGCACATGCACACGCTCATGCTCGGGAAACAGAAAGGTAGAGAGAGGGTGAGACGAGGAGTGTGGAGGTGCAAGGTAGAGTTGCCAGTGTGTGTGTGTGTGTGTGTGTGTGTGTGTGTGTGTGTTTGTGTGTGTGTGTGTGTGTGTGTGTGTGTTCGTGTGTGTGCAAAAGAGAGAGAGAGAGAGAGAGAGAGAGAGAGAGAGAGAGAGAGAGAGAGAGAGAGAGAGAGAGAGAGANGAGAGAGAGAGAGAGAGAGAGAGAGAGAGAGAGAGAGAGAGAGAGAGAGAGAGAGAGAGAGAGATGCAGAAGTGCTTTTCAGGACAAGCGGGCACACATGATGGCTTCAAGGTTAAAGGAATGGCCGCATGTTGATCCATTTTTTTGCTTGGGGTACACATGAAAGTGTGACTTTGTGGGTCCGGAAGGGGAGGGGCAGTGGTGTTTGAATAGCCTAATTTATTGTTGACTATAATTCCTGTTGCGGCTTCATTGGCAAAAACGAACATGGGGAAAAACAGGAAACAGAGAGATAGTATGTTGATTGCATTGGTGGTTCCACACCAACTGACCTGTTGAGTGGGATGAACTCTCAATACCCTCCTCTCCTCGTCTCTTGCCTGGTGTAGTTCCCCCAAGGAGAAAAGAAAGAAAAGCTAAATGAAGTGCACACTGTGCTCCCTATTTCCCCCTCTCCGTCTCCCTATACGTTATCCATTCAATACCTTCTTGCAGGGAGCCGGGAAATAATAAAATAAAACAAAGCAGAAGCTCTCTCCCTACATTTTTCCCTCTGCAGTGCCGTCCCCTATTTCAACCTCAGCCATCAGCAAAAATGCCGAAGAGAACGGAAGGCGTACTCTCTCTGTGGCATTCTCTATTCCACACGGGCTCTTCGCAGGGCCCGACACGGTAGGAGTAGGGGTAGGTCCGTTTAGGCCAAGTAGTAGTAGGCCCGGGCGTGTCTTTTGGTTAGTGCCAGGCCCAGTTAGGCCCAGTCACGCAGCAGTTACTCGCCAAGTAGGAGGCACAGGCCCTGGACCCCGTTCGTTTGGGCGCCAGGCCACGGTATTATTCAGGCGTGAGTTTTGGCGCCACACTTTTCACAGTACCGTCGGGTGCCGAGTTTAGGCGCCAGGACTTTTCACTCAGGTCACTACCTGAGGCCGAACCAGTGCTATATATAGCTGGTCGGCCTCAGTTTGAGTAGGCATTCGTGGAGGTACTCTGCAGTAGTAGTGTAGTCGACGAGAGGGTAGCCGTAGTCTTCCAGCGCTGGGCGCTGCGTTAGGATTTCGGCACGAGCTTGAGCTGCAGCCGACTTCAGTGGAGGTTAGGGAGCAGCCCGGCTATGGCGGAGGCCAGGGGACTTTCCTGACGAAGTACCTGTGGCACCATCGCTCCAGCTTCGTCTTCGGCGCGTCGGTACCTGCATCAATGCGACATCTTTTGCAGGTACGTGCCTGGTATACTATGAGTGATTGAGAGAGAGAGAGAGAGAGAGAGAGAGAGAGAGAGAGAGAGAGAGAGAGAGAGAGAGAGAGAGAGAGAGAGAGAGAGAGATTTGCGACATTCGGATTCAGACTTGACATTGGGACAGAGATACTGCGGGGGACTATTTTTGGATCGGTATCGATGACATTTTGGGTTGACGATATCCTCCATATCTCCCCCCCCCTTTGTCTGTCCTCCCTCCTCATCTGTGCATGATTTTGTGCCTGGTGCCCTTCGTCCCTGAGTTCGGCGCNTCCCCCCCCTTTGTCTGTCCTCCCTCCTCATCTGTGCATGATTTTGTGCCTGGTGCCCTTCGTCCCTGAGTTCGGCGCCAGGCCACTCACACCGCGTGACGATGATGATGATGATGATATTGATGATGATCAGTCTGTGTCACGACATTGATTGGGTCTGATTATTGGTATTTCAGTCTTCCGCTGTGCTATCATTGCTCCATCTTTGAGAGGTCGGTTCTTGGTTCTGGTCTGTGCCACTTGGCATGCGACACTCTCTCTCTCTCCCCGACCAGGAAAAACAAAAACTGTACTCCATTCCCCCCATGATCTTTTTGATTCCATCTTGCAGAGCAATGTGAAAAAACAAAAGTGGATGCAGATCATACTCTCTCCCTCTCTTTCCACCCTCTCTACCTACCACAGCATCCCACTTTTCTCCATTATCCATGAAATTGCCAATGGGGAGAAAATGAAACAAACCGTACGCTCTCTGTCTCTCTCTCTCAATTCAATTCTCAACCCCTCTCTTGGCATGCCTCTTTCTGGCCATAACTCTCTCTTTCTGTCTCTGGCATGATGCCCCCATTTCTATTCCAGTGTGGCACAACGGCTGGCCAGCTGTGATTCTCTTGGGGCCATCACGACGTTTCTCGGGGTGGCTGTTCTGGGCCACCCCAAGAAAGGCCGTTGTTGATTTCACTATCAAGGTATGGAGAGCCTGAGTATAGGTTCTACCTCTACCCTCTGAGGCAGTGTATACCCAATTCACTAGGTCTAGGGCCAATTGTGACAAATGCATCCACATGAAAACGAAAAACAGAAACCATGCGCGGAAACAACGAGCGTGAGGCCCAGGGTTAAAAATTAAGTGCTGGGAATCCGGAGGCCAACAATGTTTTTTATCTACTCGTGCCATCGGATGTCCCCAATTAGACGGCACTGATTGCATCTTCGTGACTCGCGCAGATCATGAGCACACAGTCACAACCATCCAGTACCACAATACTGACGGGTACACCAGTTTGTTGATGGTCTGGAGGTGGTATGCATCTGCGAGTTAGTGATTTTATGTGTGTAGTGATATCTTCAGTTGTGGAGACGAGGTGGGTGAAGGTTTTGGTGGTGCAGTGGACTCTCAGGTCACAGCATGCTTTAAGTTCATTGTTTAAAAATTAAATATTGATAATCAGTTTTTGGCTCTGCTTTGTGGTCATCTGTAGCATTGTTGGCGCTGCTTTGTGGTCATCTGTAGCATTGTTGGGTGTATCTTGCAATCACTCTCTGCATGCACTTTAGATTGTTGACTCTTTTGTGTTGGCTTTGTGCGTATGCAATGAAATCTGTGGTTGTGGTGCGTCATTTTTCTGTGTGTGAACAGAGAAGGATTGGGAAGACATCAAGTTTGGAGTGGACAACGGAGTGGACTATTACGCACTCTCATTTGTCAAAAGTGCAGATGTAGTGCACGAGCTGAAGGATTATCTGAAGTGTAAGCTCTCTGCCTGCCTTGTCTTTGTAGAGTCATCCAATGCTATTGGGAGTTGGCATGTGTGTGTGTGTGTGTGTGTGTGTGTGTGTGTGTGAGAGAGAGAGAGAGAGAGAGAGAGAGAGAGAGAGAGAGAGAGAGAGAGAGAGAGNGAGAGAGAGAGAGAGAGAGAGAGAGAGAGAGAGAGAGAGAGAGAGAGAGAGAGAGAGGACGGGAGGGGAGGGGAGGGGAGATTTACGTGTGGACAGAGGCGTGTCACATTGTAAAAATGTTGGTGGACAAGAGTCGTCCAGCATAAAGCATCTCAAAGCGTATTGCCTCTTGAAAGGGCAAGGATGTTGCTGGTATCTGTCGGCACAAGGACCTATTACAAGGGCCCATACCTAGCTATCCCAAAACTTCAGAACAGCTCTGTTGATGCAACGAGTCAACTCAGAGATGTGAGACACGAGTGTATTGCTGCACATGAGTGAGAATGAGTGAAGGCAATATGAAAGGAATGTGACTGTTTCTGGGCAAAAGTGGAAGTTTGGATATTTCTTACCTCCTCACGCGGTTTGCATGCATGTTTTGACTCTTATCCATTATGCACGTAAGCTTGTGAACCATGCATGCTCATTCCTTGAAGGAAAATGCTTTGCTCAAGTAATGCATGACTGGTACCAGTTTTGTGAAGAATTCATTTCTTATACCTGCCATTGAGCTTCTTCAAGTTCTTCTTCAATTTCTATGTCATTTAGATACTTCTTTCATGTGTGTGATGGATAACGAGGGCAAGTGGAATGCCATGGAAGTGTACTGGACTTAGCTTTTGATTATGTGTGAATTGAATCATGTAGCTAAGAATGCGGACATCAAAGTGCTGGTGAAGATTGAAAGTGCTGATTCAATTCCAAACCTTCACACGATCTTGGAGGCATCAGATGGGGTATGATTTCCTGATTTCCGTCCTGTTGTGTCCCTCCACATGTCTGTATCTGTCTGCATTTTGTCACCTCACCCAAGCTCTCTTCTCTGTGGGCCACATTTCTTTACTGTCTTCCACTGACCCCTTTTGTCCATCTCTGCTGTTGCTATTCTTTTCCCTCCTGTCCGTTTGTGGTCTCTATTTAGTGACACTCTGCCCTGTCCCCCACCCCAGCCCTCCTCTCCTCACGCTACACACACAACCTGGCCCTCTCTCTTCATCTTTGCCTCTCCCTTCTTCTGCCTGTTATTCCCTTTCCCTCCCTTCCCCTTGCTTGTGCACTCGTTCTCTGTCTCCATTACTCCGCCCTCCCCCTCCCCCCCGCCCCCCCTCTTCGAAATATGTCTCACGCGTCTTCATCTCTCTCGCTCTCACTTTCGTTCTTGGCTTCCCTCGGTTGTATCGCTCTGTTTTCTTGATCTCTTTATCTGCCTTGGTCTGTCTTGCATTCCGTATGTCTTGCTGCTTCTCTTCGTTTGTACAGTTGTATAAGGGTGTAAGTGGGCATGCATTAGGTATGAAGGCTTCTACTTATGCGGGTGGATCTGGACGTGTGCTTTCCATTTGCCTTGTGTCTGGCTTAGGCTCTGATTGGTATTGTTCCATGTTCCACCCTTGCCTTCGAATTTTGTTCGTTGAAAGGGGGTAGCCCCTAACATTATTATATCCACCTGGTTTCGTTAGGATTGAACTGGTTATCTGTTCATCACAGTTACATGTGTATACCATACAGCCACATGGACTGGGTATTCCATGAATGCTGTGCTTTTGCATCTCTGCTCATTTTTGTATAGGCATGTTTGCGTTCTCCTCTTCACATTCCTCCCCCATCCCCCCCCTGCCAGGAACTTTTTGTCTGTGTCTTGACGTTATCCTCATTTATTTGTATTCGTGTCTGTCTTCTTGCCATTTTGCCAATAAGTGCTTACGGTTGTGTGGTTGCCCATGTTTGCCTATTTAAGTAAGTGTTCACTTGTTGGGTTCACTTGGTATGGCTGCCCATGTTTGCCTATGTGCTCGTGTGTTGGAATGTGTGCTTGATCTCTCCATTGAACAGACACACATGAATCAATGGTATGTGAAACCTTGTGTTTCTCTTTGTGATTGCCTTCATTTCATTTTAATTGGTGGAAATTAGTTTTTCTGTAGTAGAGAGAGTGTCCTGGACCTATTGCATGTCTTGTCAGCGGTCGGAACTAGGCAGTCTGCTAGAATTGCAAGTTGGTGTGAGTAAAGAGAGCCACCTCTCCTAAGGGGTATCACTAACTTCGCTGAGGTGGTGCGTCAGAATGCATTAGCCAAAACATTCCACCCTCCTGACGAGTCAGTGGGTGGCCAACAGGTCTGTCGCAGTCGTGCATTTATCTTGTTCTGTTCAGTGGACATGACACACACAGGCTGAGTGGGTGTGTAGAGTGGGCATGCCTGTGAGCTTGTGACAGATTAGTTTCCCAGACTTTCTGCCATTCTTGTCAGGGGTTAGCACCGACAGTCTGCCAGGATTGCAGGATTGGTGTGAGTAAATCCGACCACTTTTCTCAGGGGTATCACTAACTCTGGGAAACCCTGTGAGTCCTTGTCAATCAGTTGAATGCATCCTGGGCAGACTCAGGATTCAGCCTTCTGATGAGTTGGTGAAAATTAGATGAAACAGTCTGGCACAGTCGTGCTTTTTTGTGTTACGTATGGCGAACACACACCCACGCATGCCGACCTTCTTTGCTGATGACATGGCAGCAACAAGCCGTGTGTCGTCAATGTTTCCAGGAAGCTGTCATAGAAAGTATGTCTCTCTACTGTGTGGACTATCCCCGGTGCCATCATCTGCCACATCCTCTCCTGGCATGTACCACATGAGGTGTTGGTCATACACCTACTGCAACCGCAGTCGGAATTCCTTCTTCCTTGCCTGACGAACGACAGGCACAGCAGCCTGAGGAGGAAAAAAGATTACCATATGAATCACCTTCAGAGCGCTGTACTGATAGGTTGTCTCCACCAGGGCGAGCTGTTGCAGACAAAATCCTGCAGCAGCTGAACGCCCTTGCTTTGGATCAATCTCCCCCGTCGTCGTCTACCCACCGAGAAGGATTAAATACTGAGGAAACCCAAGAAACTTGCTCTATGCCGCTTTGTGATGACCCACCAGAGATTCAGCTGGCATGTGGTTCACATGCCTTATGCCGTGAGGATTATGAAGGGATAGCCCGGGCGAGCTTTTGTCTTCATGCGTATGATGACAGTCTATATTGCACTCGTGTACGGCACCCGGACATGGCATGTCCAATTTGTAGACGGGCTGGAACGGCAATGCCTGTGACATCTGTCTACGCCGTGCTATTCGATGCGGTAACTGTGACTGTTAGAATTGGATGTGGTGTTTCCACATGCCACACCCAAACCGGTTCTGCCCGGTCTGTAGAGGTCGCCACTTACCACAGGCAACAACTGCTGCTCAAATCGTATGCAACCCACCCGCTGACTGGCCTCATGTGCCATTCTAGAGTGGTCTGCCTCGGCGGTCACTATTTAGAACCCTGTCAGAACTCCACCTCCCATTTCCTTCCTCCCTCTTGTGTATTACTAGTAATATATGCAAGTGAGCATCATTACGGGAACAGACAAAATACGAGTTGAAGATCTGAGAAGAAATGAACAGTAATCAGGAAAATACCTCCGCCTTTGCTCTGCCTCCTTTCATAGTGTGCAAGTGGGCCGTTATGGCACACGGGGATGTGGGAAGCTCGCACTCAACCACAATCAATGTGGCGAGCCTTGTGCATGAGAGGCACGGTAAAAGGTGAGCTGCAAGAACAAATGAAAGGGTCCCTGAAGAAAGCAAATGTGAACGCATTAAAGGAAGGGATCTGAACTCAAGTGCTTTCGTTGTCTGTAATAGGATTGAATATGCTTTGTTTTTGGATATGCTCATCTGGGTGGAATAGGGGCTGTTGTGGTGAAAATTCAGAACACACACACACACACACATGCCCACACACATGCACACACACACGCACACACACACACACACACACACGCACACACACACACACACACNCACACACACACACACACACACGCACACACACACACACACACACACACACACACACACACACACACACGAATGTACACAGAGGGACAGAATGGAATTAGTCGAAGATGACTATTGTTGGGTTAGTTCTCTTGTAAACGGGTCACCATCCCGTTTTGCCTGAAGGAAGGCCTCTTTCTCTTACTGTTAGAGGGATGGGGGATAAAGGTAAGCTACGTGTCTTCATTTGTCACGTCCACACGCTTTGTGTTGTGAACTTCTGATGGTTTCCAGGGCCATGTTGATCCTCCACAGAAAAGGAAGCCCCACTCTTTTTGCCATGGAACCAACTGCTCCGGTGCTCCTGTGTTCTGTTGGGGGGAAGGCAGAACTAGTTTGAAGTGTTTGCTCAGCTGCGTGTGTACCTCGTAAGGAATGACATCATGATGATGGGGTGTTTACCTCTCGTTATGTGTACTCAGGCCATGGTGGCAAGAGGTGATCTAGGAGCAGAGCTTCCTGTCGAGGAGGTACCCATTCTGCAGGTATGCGAGTACAGTCACTTTTTTTTTTCTTTTTTTGTTTTTTCAAATCACATTGTGTTTCTTCCGTGTCGTGGGTGATAATTTTATTTGTAACATCGTGTTTATAGTTATTGTTTGTGTTTAGTTTGCGGGTTCTCTTCGCAGGAAGTTGCGACCTGGGTTCCTTTCTTTCAGTAGTAGGCTCATCCCTTTTTCCCTGACCCACTGTGTGACCTGCTGTAACTGCCACTAGTGTGCCAGCTGGCTCGCTGCATCTGCCACCCGTGCGCCAGCTCACCGCCTTTAGTGTGTTGGGACCACACTGTGAGCGAGCCAACAATGACATTCAAAACGTTGATTGTGTTTGGACTCTGAACCTGCTAAGAAATTTCCATCAGGTGACTTCGGGGGTCATGATGCTCATTGCTGCATTCAACAAAAAGGGGAAAGGGTGGGGGGCAGTGTCACAAAGTGGAAATCCTGACTTTTGTTCCTTGACAAAGTACAAGGTAGGGCCTGGTAGGTGCATGTGGTATGACAGGTGTCCCTTAGGGAAGGGATTAGACAGGAAATGACTCCGTGGTTTGCATCTATCTCTGTGTTTGGGGGTTCCTCAGAATCAGATCATTCAGATTTGCCGCAGCATGGTCAAACCTGTCATTGTTGCCACCAACATGCTGGAGAGTATGATCAACCATCCAACGCCAACACGGGCAGAAGTTTCTGACATAGCCATCGCTGTTCGTGAAGGAACAGACGCAGTTATGCTGTCTGGCGAAACTGCACATGGCAAGTGAGTATCTTCTCCTTTTCTTGGTTACCTCAAGCTTGACACGACTCTCTCACCATGCACTGTTTTCGTTCTTTTTCCTGCTGTTTCTGTTGTAGTCGTGCGGAATCTCTCTGTCACTCCCACTATGCAAGGCAAACCACCCCTTGACGGATTCGTCAAGGGTGGCGGAGTCCGTGTTTTCGGAGCTTAACCTTATGATCACTGCACGACCCCATTACGTTGTCGACAGCACCACCCTGATTGACCTGCTGCTGGTATGTTAAACGTGATACAAGTGCGTATTCAGTATAACTCACGTCTTCGTGTACATACACGTGTAGATGAAATACCTCCCATCTGTTCAGTAGATAGTAACCCCAAAGACTTGCCTAGAAGAATTTGAAGCACTTACTCGAGGAATTGGTCCCCGGGTCATGTGTACAATCAGCGTACCCGCAGCATAAGAAACCTTCAACAAACAGTGTCATGCGTTCTAGCTGTTTCTCCAACTTTGCCTGCTGGCTGGGCTTGCTCTAGCCTCTCAGGCCTGACTAATCTATAAAACAAATGCTAAGTTGCTAGCTCCTTAATGGTCCTTTCTGTTTTTTGCTCACCCCTTCTCCATTCACCTTCGGACCTTACCTCGTCCCTCTCCCTCCCCACCCACCTTCTCTCCCCCCCTCTCTCTCATCCTCCTCCCTCCCTCCCC